CTGAGTTTTATCCCGCTTCCTGATATTATAGGCCGAAAAGTGTGCGAATAATTCCAGTCGTTGGAAATACCAATATATTCAGCTTTAAGACGCGGTAGCTTGTTTCCGTTTTTGTTTCCTGTTGTTGTGGATGAAACTTTGTACACTCAGGTAATTTGAGACGTCGAATGTGAATATGAAAAATTTATCTGTTGGTACTAGGGTCAAATTGATGTCAGATTCGGAACCGACGCTCCTATTTTACATAGAAGTGTAGTTTTCCTTTAAATATAAGAATTAGTACAGCGATATTTTCTTACAAGCGAATCAAACTTTGTATACTTAGGTAACATGTATCTTAAATAGACGAAGCTACGACGCTCATAATGGTTTTAGATAAACAAACTTATAGGATCATAGGAAACAGTGATAGAAAATGTATTGATTGATTTTATGTTATCGTCCAAAATCTGGTAAGTAGTAGTTTAGTAATGGTTTATTGTTTTTTCCGAAATCTGTAAATACTGATCTAAATGGGGAATATACAGGGTTTTAATAAAGTACTTTGCCAGTTTTCAACTGGCGAATCCTTGCCTAACTCTAAATAAAAAGGAACAGGCTCTCAATTTATAAGAAAATACTTAAAAAAAATTATAATCCTTCAAGTCCTTTCTATAAAAGGTTACGGACGCATCGACGAAATTTCAACTAAAATGACATAAGAATAAATGCTTTTTCAATCATAATCACAAGTTGAGATGGACATCTAGATAGCCCAATTTAAATCCATTCCATCTTTGGGTGTTTGTTTTTTATTGACACGTTTTTTTTTATTTGATTTAATACAAATGTTGGGCGTACTGTCTATACGTTCTTAAAAATCTTAAAAATGGAGCATTACTAGACCTATGTTTTTTCTTAGCATCTCAGGTCATTTGGCGTAATGGACTATTGACACCTTGAATATGGTGAAGTCGTTACAATTTCCTTTTTAGATCAAATGATGGTTCTTTCTACACTACTCTACACCTTCTACAAAAGCTTACCTGTGTTTGTATGGCATGTCATTCTGAAACAAAAATACAAAAGTTTAACACTAAAATCCAATTACTGAATAATATACTGTTGTTCCACTTAAAATAAGCAAGTTATTCATCTTCATCTTATACAGGTGTAGCTGGAAGGGCTACTTTTTATAGAATTTTTCAGCTTACTTACATCTGTGTTATACGTACTTAAGCCCAAAAATTTCATAGTCGTCTAACATGTGTGCAAGTATCTGACGAATGCCACCTACCACTGGTCTGTCAAGTTTATTTTCATCCTCATGCTATCGAAGGTGAAGAGGTCTCTTACGTCTTCTCGCTCGACCAGTCAAGAAGTGGCAATACTAAATATTTCCAGAGCAAACCAGCAATGACTTTCTAGGTGTATATACATAATGTACATGGACACAGGCTGACAAGGACATGTTTGCTTTTTGTCTCTCTTACCATGACCAATCGAAGGCAGTACTGTTTCGTGCTCATCAGTGTGTGTTATAGGTCTAGTCGTGAGGGTAAACGAATGGAAAGCAAACAAGTAGGCATGATCTTTTAAAAAACGTGGGTCACAAACGCCACTTACTAGTTACATTTTGAGTTTTTTAAGGTACTAGATGTTCTTGTCTGCCTCCCGGTCGCCCGCCTCCAAGACTAAACCGTTCTGATGAGTTGCTATTGTCCTATGCCATTGTATCTCTGCATAGGACTAGATAGTGTATACACATTAAGAAATATTCTGAAAAAAATCATATATTTAATTGTTTCTGTAGGTGGTTGAGAGTATACCAGTTACACCTAAAACCATAACGCTGGCTTCATTCGCATAATATTTTATAATAAATATTAAATACAGCGAAAACATTTACATTTCTCGTATTTATCACCATATGTGGTCCGAATTGGAACGAGGAGGCGCAGTCCCATTATGGCCTTCATATGGCCGACACACGGGCTAACGGCGATATAAAACGAACCTAATGAGGTACATAAACGTGAAAGTTACAAGGATTCACAACCGCCTTATATTTCGAGACATATAAAGTTTCCTGAACCTGCGTAGCATCTAGTGGGTGGTTCCTACAAGGTGTGATCAAAAGTTTTTGTTTACGAGATGGGTTGCCCCATCAACAGCTAAGACTGCCCTCTATGTTGGCTGCTGTGTCAGAATAGTAGGCTGTAGCAGTTTTTCGAAATTTTAAATTTTCAGAATTTGGAAGATTTTCACGTTTGTGAAACACCTCTAGTTTCGGTAATTTGCAAAGTTTCCAAAATTGCCACATCTTCAAAATATTCATTACCTTAAAAATGTTCATACTCATCAACATTCACAGAATTTTCTAAATTTCAAAATTCTATTTGCAATTTGTTTGTCTGGGCGGTCAGTAGCTTTGCCCATTAGTTACTGTCTAATGTAGTTGAATCTGTCAGTCCTGGTTGCCCAGAAGTCAGACAATGTCAACGACAAAGGAAAAGGCTTTGTTAGGGTATAATTTTGGGCTTACTAAAAGTGAGCTAATTTTGTGAGCCGTAGCCTTGAATGTTTACGAACTTGTTCCACTATGTGGTCCACTGAGTTATGCAACAGAGTGTTGCTGTGCGATTTCGCTTGACTATAACGTCGCTGCACCTGGAGCTTGACATAATCCCTCAAGTAGGAATGTCAAGGTATCTCTGTTTTTTTTTATAAACACCGAAGCAGCCGCGCGGGCAGAAGCCTAAATGCCAGGACACCGCGGCTGCTATGAACTGCGTAAGGTTAGTAGAACTGGGAAAAGCTTCCTCTTGTAGATTGTTCCACAACCTCGACGCTCTCGGGACAAAGGAGCTATCGTATCAGCCAGTTCTGGATGTACGAAGGTTGACACGGTTCGCATGGGAGACTAAGGTCTGGCGGGTCTGTCTGGTACGCACATCGCGCGGCGGTATCATGGAAGAGAGCTCTGGGGCGCAAAGTCCGTTGGAGTAGCGATAGAAGAGAGCTAGATCGCCGACGCGAAAGGTCCCAAGACTGTCCATTAGAGAAGGGTCATCGATCAGTCAGATAGCTCTCCGCTGGACAGCATCGAATACTGTGATCGGGGCTGCAGCACTCCAAACGTGTGAGCAATACTCGAGGCTAGGCCTTATCTGGACCTTGTATAGAGTGAGAAGTTCATGCGGAAAAGAGTACTTCTTAGCCCTAAACAAACAGCCTAGCCTTTTCCCAGCAGCCGCCGCTATTGACGAGATGTGTTCATGCCCGATCAAGTCCTCGATGATCTGGACTCCGACCAGCCAAAGTGAACGGTTCTTTGGCAGAACTCGGCCATCCATCGAAACACTGGCATGTGACGAGACGTAAGAGAGAATACTAGGGTTTGTCGCCAGCTGGGTCTGCCCTTGAGCAAGAGCGAACGCTTTAACTGCATGACATGCTGCATCGGTCTTGTTTGGGCCCAACTAAAGCTTATTATGGACATTCAAATCACCGAGGAGGAATACCTCTGAAGCGGTGATTGATGTTCTTGACGGTGAGGTATTCAAGTAGATCATCCCAGTTATGGAGCGATAAAGGCAGCAAATAAAATTGGCCAGAGAATGTCCTTCTGGTCTGATTCTAAAGAAACATCTCTGGAGCAGGAAAGACTGCTGCGGACAAAAGCCACAACTCCCCGCTCTTTCTCATTTGATACATACCATGGACGAAGTTCAAGATTTGCGCGCATCAAACCTGACACGTTGCTTCACTTCGCGTTGCTCCAGTGCGCGGGCTCTCACGTGATTGAGTGTTTAAGAACCCAGCAAAGGAGTTCCACTTCTCTTCGCTTTCCTTCCTCTCGATGGGTCTGCACGCTTAAGTTGTGGTCGGCTCATTCAGTGATACCACTTCGTCGTTTCTATTTTCTTAATTGCGGAGGAAGTGTGCTGAATAACATCCGGTCTTGATATTGTATAATGGGTTGTGCTTATATTAACGTTAAAAATGAAGATACAACCTAAAAACTATATACTCCACACATGTCGGTGTCGACGGTAAAAAGTGTTGAATCTTCCGTGATTTATAGGTAGTATTACCATCAAGTTAACGGTCAGACGATATAAAATGGTTGATTTATGCCTGTCTGCGGGACTCTAAACGAGCCTCCATTAAGGCTCTAAGGAACGAATCGCTTGCGCTCTGCCGCGAAAAACTAAGACAAATTCCAACTTTTCCACCGAAACAATGGGGAAGGGAGCTCATCTCGGTTACAAATTGCACGTGTGAACTTCAGCGGGACCTCGTTAGATAAAACTTGATAAATAATGCTGTTCGGAGAACGATGTTAGCCTTCCCACTGGAATCCATTTTGAGCATATAATGGGGTGGTTAGGACAATGAATAACTTTTTGCTAGCCATGCATTAGATCAGACAATGGGGCAGAAGATCGACTAGGATTTAGGTGTTTATAACTGCCATCTTGTCCAATTCTAGTCTATTTTAAATCCAACATCCATCGTGGCTTAAAAATCTACGGCAGTTGTGTCGCTTCAGTAAAACTATTCGGTTCAGCGGTCAACGAAATGATGTCGGCCAGGATGATTTCCAACATCTGTTGATAATCAGCCGTATTCATAAAACAAATCCTCCAGATGGTACTTATAACAATTTGAAGTAAATGCTTTTGCTTTTTGAGTATAATCATATCCTTCAAAGCAGTGACATAAGTAAAGGGATATTCATAATCTTCACCTTATACTTGGCATAGGAAGCATATCCTTCAAAAATTCTGAGTGTGATCAGTAGCAGACTCAACTTCGTAACGAAAGGTGGTCAAAACGATGATGGCGGAATTGTAGACGTTAGGGATGTTAAAACGTACAAACCTCGTTTACCTTCACTTGGTCGTGTCTTCAAAAAATTATATCGGTTCGACAAAGCAAATGTACAATGGCTTGCGGACAGGTTTTTAGTTGAGAATGAGGAAACTCGAGGAGGAGCACTTTCATGTATTCATAACATGAAGATATATCTACGCTATCTCGGTAACCCTGGATATCAACAAGGTATTGGTCAGGAACTTGGTGTTAGTCAAGCAACGGTATCTCGGACTGTGGATAGAGTTGTGAACAGCATAGTTACACAGTTGAACGAATGGATCAAGTTTCCAACTACCAACCATGAACTGATGGAGACCAAGCGGATATGGCAAAACATGTATAAATTTCTGACAGCAATTGGTGTAGTTGATGGTACACATATAGGAATCCTGAAACCAAATCGCCATGGAGATGAGTATATCAACCGAAAAGGGAAACCTAATTTAAATGTGCAAGCCACTTGTGATGACAGAGAGATGTTCACAGGTGTTGATGTCAGTTGGTCTCAATCAGTGCATGATTCCAGAATATGGAGAAATTCAAAGACTGGATCACAACTAATAAATAAAGCAGATGTTGTACTACTTGGCGATGACGGTTATGGTATTGAGCCATGCCTTATGACTCCCTTCAGAAATCCTACTGCAGGTGCAGAAATAAATTATAATAAGCTTTTAAAACAAGAAACAGTTATAATTGAACGCTGTTTCGGCCAACTGAAACGCCGGTTTCCTATCCTACAGTATGTTTGCCGCGCAAAGTTGGAAAATGTGCCGAAAATAATTACTGCTGGGGCTTGGGCGATCCTGACTTTGAGTTAGTTGAACAAGACCCAGATGAAGATGAAGGAAATCATGAGAATGACGAACTTCCTCCCCGCCAATTAGGTCAACAAATAAGAAGAATCTTGAGTATTATAATAAATAGTTTTACTGATTAAAAGTGTATTTATAAGTTATAATACGTTTTATTCAACATCATAAGTTACGGGTAGCTTCTGACGCTGCATCATTTCTAATTTCGTTTTATAATACTCTTGTTGTAAAATGCTTGTTTGGTACTGCTGTAGTAGCACAAGAAGTTGCAGTTCTTTTGTAGTTAACCCTTTGGTTTCCTCAGTTTCGTATTTCTCTGTTGCTAATTTTCTTTTTGGTGGCAATGTCTTTTGAATTGCTGGCGCTGTGATACTCGTACTAACTGTTTGCTCACTGCGCTCGGTATATAGTTCACTTCCGTCTTCTTGAACACTACCAACCTGAATGGCATCTCGAATTTTCCCAATTGTAGGATTACAGTTATCTTCCATAGCTTTCAGCAACTTTCTTTCCCAATCTAACAATTTAATTGCTTTATTACTAGTTTTTTTTAGATCTGTTTTTTTCTTCAATCTTGATTCGATGTTGTTGATTTTTTTAATAAGCCTTTAGTATATAATGGTTTACCGAATGTTGATTCGTATTTTCTTCAAGGCATCGTCTTTTCTCATTTTTATTTTTGGAACTTGTAACTTTTGCAAAATAATGGGAGCAATGGCAATTTCATCTGCGATGAACTGCAGGTCGTTGCCATTATCTTCTATAGTTTCCTCATCACTTGACGATGACATGCTTATTAATTTGATAAAAAACTGTATCCAGTAAAAATAGGGAACGGTCTGGGTAAGCTCTGTAGTACAACTGTCAGTGATGCTGCTTGAACGACTCCCACGACAACTACAAGCTGGAACAAGTCAGGACATGTCGCTCAAGATGCAAATACCAGTCTTGGTGGATATCCTCGCAAGTATAAGGTACTCATTATGAATATGAAAACAAGGTTATGCTTATACTTCTACCTTTTTGTCCGAAGCCAGGTTTTATACTTTTACCTTATGCTTCCGAGGATATGCTTTTATAAATACGTCTCAATATCACACAAAAACTAAAAGATGAAGGCTGAGATATACTTTTTCTGAGTGTGCATTCACTGACCCTTTTCGTAGATTTGACATTTGAACTCACAAGCTATATGTTTTCTACTTTTCCACGCAACATTTCACGACATTTTGGCGGCATATTTGAATATAATATTTTTTATATTACCTATGCGTTACTAGTATAATTTGCATGTAGCAATAAACCAGGGTAATTACGATTTTGCCAGGACTATTCCAAAAACAGAAAATCGATGGTTCTTTCAGGTTCTATAGGTCAACAGTAACAAAATGTATATATATATATATATATATATATATATATATATATAATTCGGAAAATTCGAAGACTTTTAAGCAATTAAGTTGCCAAAATTGCATTTTTTCTATATGTTTGATCCCACTTAGAGTATACTCCATGTTCATGGAAACTTAAGGCAACATTCTTGTAGTATATTGTAAGACCTTCAAAATGGCGGTTAAAGCAAGTTAAAAGGTTGACACGTTGCTGAGGAATCCTCTGAAGACGGTTAAGGTTAGTTATTATACTAAGTGACATATAAATCCGAACATCCAGTTTAAATGGTTTTATTTTAATAAAATTTTTTATAAGTACTTAATGAAGCATAATAAGTAAATGATAAAAATTTCAAAATGATTGCACTGCTTTAAAGCCCTTTGACCTTTAATAATGTGAGGATGCACCCTGATGTGCTACGCATTCTCCAACGCGCCTAGGCATGCTTCTGATCAGGTGGTCAATGTCCTCCTGTGGTATCTCATTCCAGGCAACCACCAACTCCTCTCGAAGTGCTTCTAGAGTCTGAGGAGGACGTTGCAAATTGAGCAATCTCCTACCCATCATATCCCACATGTGCTCAATTGGGGTTAAGTCGGAAGATCTTGGTGGCCATGGTAACAATGTGACATCATTATGTTGAAAGAAGTCTATTGTGACTCTTGCAACATGTTGTCGGGCATTATCTTGTTGGAAAGTTGGATCTGCCAGGGTGTCAAGATAGGGTAAAAGATGGGGTTCTAGAACTTCGTGGATATAACGCTGCGCGTTCATGTTACCTCTGATGAAGATTAAAGGTGACGTGGAACCATAAGCTGTAGCACCCCAAACCATAACTCCAACAATGTGATGAACATGTCTTTCAACAAATAACTGTGGATTCCTCCTTTCACCACGTCGCCTTCTAACCCTGGCACGACCATCACAAAATCGAGACTCGTCACTAAAGACAATACTGTTCCATTCCTGATCCCAGAGTGACCGTTGTCTGCACCACTCAAGGCGATTACGTCGGTGTTCTCGAGTTAAAGGGAGGACCCAGTGTGGCCGGTATGAAAACAAGCCAAAACTTCTCATTCGTCGGTAAACACTTCGCACGCCAATAGGTCTTCCGTGTTCTGCAAACCATTCATTTGCAATGGACCTGGTAGTGGAGAAACGGTCCCTTAAGGCCAATAATCTTAGGCGGCGATCTTCACGGTCTGTTGTCCTACGGCGGCGTCCAGTGCCCCTTGCACTTTGCGTACGGCCTTCTCGAAGCCATGCCTGACAACACCTAACCACAGTGTCTACACTTCTTTGCACTCTAACTGCAATTGCCCGAAAAGAAAGTCCAGCTTCCCGAAGTCCCACTATACGGCTCCTATCAAACTCACTAAGTTGACGAAATCGTACAGGTCTCCGTACTCTAGGCATCGTATCCGATCGTAAAGGATGTCAAGAACCAAAATCCGCCAACGTTGATTCTTTGAATTAAAAAAAAGCAGTATAAAAACCGGAATGACCAACTGATAAGGCTGAAAATTTTTTCACTTGTTATTTACAGTAAGATAAATACATTCACCAACTTTTATTAAAATAAAACCATTTAAACTGGGTGTTCGGATTTATATGTCACTTAGTATATCATTACGTGAGCAATAAAAGCTACAAAAGTTGGTGAAAACTTTTACTTATTTCCAGAAGAGGTAGCATATTGATGCTAAGGATTAGTTAAAAATTTTAGATTGATTCATGCAACAGTTTTCACAAATTTGCTAAATCTTTATCCAAGACATCTCGTTTTACAACTGCATGGCTTCACCCTGTGCAAAAATGAAGCTACAATATTTAACTCGAAAACTCCATCAAATTTTCTATAGAATTTGATAAGTTTTGTTACTATATAAAGTAGGTTGGCTTCTGCACTTGATACGCGACGCCGTCATCAGTTTATAAAGGATAAGTTTAGCGCATTTCAAATCATCTGAGAGAAAAAGTCAGTTACGAACATTGGCAACACCGAAATTAAACGGATTAAGTCAGTCAAATAGGTCCATACAACTAGTCCATGAAAATCCATTCGCTGCCATTCCATTAGTCACTGTTTATCGTTGATTTAATTCATGATCCGTGTATATGTTTTTGTGCTGTAGTACGGATAGATTAGTCAGCCGGACCAGTGACTTTAAATAGTGGGAGTACCCGGATCGAAAAATATGGCTTATACGTTCATATAATTACCGGAATTGGGAGCATATAAACATACTAACATCAAAACATTATCATATAATCTCCTCCCCCTGCGATCCCTAATCCACAAATTTCAACACCTACATATTTTTTTGGAAATGATCAGGTGCCTGAAATGTCAAAAACGAAGATTGAGCGATTTGTATTTTTTTCATGTTTTGGCCCTTAGCACTATCGATACTGGACCGATTTTAAAAAATACAAAGATTCTTATATCAAATTTCATCAAGATTCGGAAGCTACTTAGCAAGTTATAGGCGGTTCAAGAATTAGCGGACAAACATACAGACAGACAGACATACCGACGTATGAGTGACATGGTTCTTCGTGTATGTACAGGGTGGCCAAATAAGAATGCGAGGTACTGTATCTGTTTGTACTAAAACGCCCAAGATAAAAACCTTGAACATATTTTCAAGTTTCTGAAATGGCCGCTAGGGGGCGTAACTGCAATCATGATTAAAAAAAAGCGATGTTTCTGTGAATTCCGCTATATTGCCATAACAAAAAATACCTGATCTCTAAAATCTCTCTGATCTCTGAAAATATAGTGGTAGGTTAAGTATTCAAAGGTTTCAATAAAAAAACACTCTGTGTCTTCAAAACGGCTGAGCCAATTTTAACAAACTTGGGCTAGTTGAAAAGAGCTATTCTTGGGCTACAAGCGTTATAATATTTTATGTTTTGTTAGTTTTACGTGTGTCCGGCAGAGGGCGTTTTTGCATTGGCATTATCCTTTTTTATGGAAATAATTTTATTCTTTTAAGCTTATTTTTCTGGAATTCCTTTTTATTCATCAGAATAAAATCATTTAATTCATAAATATTACAAAATATCGCTAAAGTAAGTAATGCTAATAACAAAAAGCATTCTTATTGTTTAAATGCATAATTCACTATGGGTGTATACGAAAAAGACATTAGACGCAGGCCATGGATTACAACAAAACAAATACCTAATCAAATCATAAATAACCCACAAATAATTGTCAATAGTTGTCAATAGCTGCCGTATAATAATTACTTTGAGCAATTTTTGTGCTTATCAAATGCATTTTACTAACGATAAAGCTGTTGATAAGCTTGCAGTTTATTTTGAATGTCTTCAGAATGCCCCAGTAGCAAAAAGAGTTTACCCGACTTGATATCCAAATCAGCGTCTTTGCGATGTGACAGTTTTTCTCCGATTAGTGGTGAGCCAATGGCAGTTTTCGGCCTACATTTCTACGACAAATAATTGGAACAATACAGGCCACTGTATGAGGAAAGGGGTATATGTTACAAATGTTGAAGCCGAGATAAGAAGCCGAAAACATTTTATTTTTGAAGTTTGCGAAACTTAAAATATTAAACGCTAAAGGGTATGTTTATATGTTTATTATAACCAAATACTACATTTCTTGTGAAAAAATATTATACTACAAAACATATAAAAGAAAAAATGTACTTATACCACTTTTCACAAAAGATTTTCATTGATAATGCAGTAGCAGTGTTTCATCAGAAGATGATTCGGATGTATCCGGCAAAGTATTTCTTGCGTCCTCGGTGGTT